TTTTTTAGTTGCACTACTTTGTTTGACATTTATAACAAGAACAATTTTAAAAATATATTATGAAATTAGTAAAATTTAATGTGAATAAATAACTTTTTAATATGTATGAAATTGTTTTTTTTTTACTTTTTTTATAGGAGAATAGGGAATACCTTATAAGAAAAATATTATAAAAGTCAACATTTATTTTCCTAATTATTTATGATTGAACAACTATTGTAAACATTTCTCTATTGTCATTGTGTATATTTTTTTATTTTTTTTACATTTCTTCTAAAATATTAATTACTCATTTTTTTAAATTACTATACCCATTCTTAATTATAAGATTCTTTCAACTGATTACACTCTTAAAGAAATTAGTTAATTTTTTTTATGAACATGGTCTACATAATATCAGTTAATTTAGTTAAAAATATTAAATTTATTAATAATTTAAACCACTTTTTTCAAAATTATGCTTAACATATTTTAAATTAATTTTTTTCTCTTTTCACTTAATCATTTCTCTCCTAATTAATTAATGTTTGGAAGAAAGAGATATCTATATGCCTATTTAATTATCTTTTCCAATTTTAATAGTAAAGTGTTTTTAGCCAATTAATTTTAAGGAATTATTATCTTTTGGATAAAAATTATTAATTAAATAAGTGTATTTTAAAGAAGATAAAATTAATGCATTTGACAATTAGAAGAAAGACTTATAATAAAGGACATGAAAAAATAAAAAAAATAAAAAAAGAATCTTATATATAAAGACAAAGATAGTATTTTTTTAAGTTCTTTTAAATTTAACATTTTATCCCAAGTTTAAATTATTTTTTATTTTTATTTTTTATCAGCAAATAAACTTGTATTACTTCATGGCACAAAGGGTACCAAAAACTTGTTTTGATAACATGTATTGCCAGCCTTGTTTAATTTATATTTATACTTTTGTAAGTAGTATAAAAGCAAAGTAACCAAAGCTGTCATAAAAAAAAAATAAAAAAATACAAGGACTAAAAATTTGTTTTACTCACATTCTGGCTCATGATTCCAGTTTTTGTAGCATGTAACCTCCGTTAACTTGGATTTTTCTTTTTTCAAAGATAAAAGTTAAAGTCAAATCAATATTATAATTTTTTTTTTCTATCACATTGTGTTTTTTCATCTATAGGATCTCACATGATATTTCCTCTCATTCTTAATTAATCAAAATTATTTGCTTTCATTCAACTATTCTGCACACTCTTGTATTTGTGACCCATATCGAGAATGAATGATCCATTTTTTTTCACATCTTTCATCCATGTCAAAGTATAGTGCAAAACTTCATCCTATATTTTTTTATCTATCAAACACTCCTCCTTTAAATATACAATTATTCATATATATACAATCATTAATATTATATCACATCACACCACATAATTTTCCATCTATCAATGCAAACTTTTGAGCCTAACTTTGACATATGTTGCCAAAAGTGAGTTTTGGACAACAAGTGAATACAATTTTTTCATTCAAACAAAAGTAACAAATGTTTTCATAGAAAAACAGGATATTGAAACCGTTTCCTCTTTGTCTCGAGACAAAAAGGGCAAAGTGTTTTTGTAATATCCACATTAATTCATCTTGTTAAATTTTCTCTAGTGGACAATTCATTTAGAAATATTCTTCGAGCAAAAAATGTCACATTGTTGTGATTTTCATGGTCCACACTAGTTTTAACAATTCATCTTTCTTACTTTCCATAACTTTTCTATGCAATATCTTATAAGTTGAGCATATACTAAATATATCAAGAGAATCCTCCAACCAAATCTATATTTCTTTTATTTCTCTTTATAAGCATTATGCATGATTTTTTTTATTTTATATTTTTAGATGCTTGTTAAATTTTGGGAAAAATTCATGTTAACTACTAATGTTAATTTTTTAGTTAAGATTAAGTAAATACATAGATTTAAGTTCAATTATCATTATTGTTGTTGTAATATTTTTTACCAATAAAAATAATGCATAAAATCATGTGATAACCAATTAATTAAAAGGAGGGTCAATATATTTTTTTTATCACTTATTTGCTAATACTTTTTTATTATTAATATAAATTTATTGAAAATAAATTTTTTTTTGTAAATTTTACATATTATTTAATAAGCTATCTTAATTTAATTGTAGGACAATAACCTTAAAAAAATTGTGATTCATCCAATAATAAAAAAATTTTAAAAAAAAGATGTTAGAGTTTGTGTCATTACATTCCTTATTAATTAATTAATTAATTAATGAGTATCTATTTCTTTTGAAAAGAAAATTATAATAATTCGTAACTGTGATGGCAAATGCGCCAATGTGGTGTGTGGGGCTTTACCAAAAAATAAATAAAAATGTGGCGTGGCCTGTGGGGTCTGCGGGCACCATGTTTCATTAAAGAATCAAATAAAGTTTATTATATGAACTATGCTGAGACAAAATATATACTATAATCTATTAATTAAATATGATCTATATGGTGTCACATTATTTGCAAAATATTACAAGCATTTATTATATTATAACTGAAGAATCTTAATTATTATAAGAATCCTACCTTGAATAATAATAATAATAATAATAATAATAATAATAATAATAATAATAATAATAATAATAATCTACAATTTTTTCTTCTAGGCGCCTCCCTCTCTTTCGTTTCTACCAAAATTTTTTAAAGCAAAATATAATAACGTTGTGTTGTCTAATTATTTAATAATGATATAAAAATAACATTAAAATAAATTATTTTAAATATTATTGGTATTTTAACTAATACATAATATAATTATTTATATAACTATAATTTTTAATAAACAAATATTCTTGAATATATAAATTATATTATAATTAATTTTTTTTGTGAGGAAATACTTTTAATATATAACTTATATTTTTAATTTATAAGAAATAATTTATATTATGACATAATATTATATTTTAACTATTGATATTTTAAAATATTAAATTTAATTATAAAATAAATATGATAAAATGAATTATAAGAAATAAGTAATAAAGAAAATTAATTATATTAATTGGGATAAAAAGGAAGTTGTTTCAAATGATCCAATAAATGTTTATCTATACTTATTATAAGAGAGATATCATGATACATAATTTATTTTTATCTCTATTTTTAATGTACCAATATATCTTTCAAATAAAAAAAATAATTTCTTATACTTTGTAAATAATCACTTAAAATCATTTAATATTCTATCTCGATTATAAAGTAAATGTATCCGCTTGTCTTATTATGCTGACTTAATTTAAGTTACATATTATTAAAAGAGGATCATTATAAAACAATTATATACTTTTATCAAATGCTTTAGAGTATGTTTGGATGGAGAATTTTAATGGAGTAATTCATTTGTTTGAAGAATTTCAAATTCTTTGAGGTGAAATACTTTGTTTGGATAGAGAATTTACAAAGAATTTGAAATCCAAGCATTTGTAAAATTCTTTGAAATAATAGAATTTCAAATTCTCCCAAAAAGGTAAGAATTTGAAATTCTTCATATTTTTTCCCCTTATTTCACTTATATATTTTATCTTATATCTTCATATTTTTAATTATTGAATATTCAAAAATATTTTAAAAAAATATTAAATATTATTTAATATTAAATTTTAAAATTATTAAATATTTAAAAATTGGTTAATATTTATTTTTATAAAATTTTATTTAAAAATCTTAACATATAAATATATTTTTAAAATTAATTTTATCATGATAGAATCAAATTATCATATCCAAATTAACAATTTAAAAGTTTAAAAAAATTGAATTGACTTATCCAAACAAAATATTTTAAGAATGATAGAAATTGAAATCAAAGTAATTCAAATACCAAGAATTTTAAATTCCTTGAATTTGTAAAATTTCTCATCCAAACACACTATTATAGTGTGTTTGGATGAGAAATTTAAATAGAGTAATTCATTTATTCGAAGAATTTCAAATTCTCTAAGGTGAAATACCTTGTTTGGATGAAAAATTTATAAAGAATAAGTATTTGTGAAATTTCTTGAAATAGTAGAATTTGAAATTCTCCCAAAAGAGAGAATTTGAAATTCTTCATATTTTTTTCTTATTATTTCACTTATGTATTTTATCTTATTTCTTATCTCTTCATATTTTTAATTATTGAATATTTAAAAATATATTTTAAAATTATTAAATATTATTTAATATTAATGTTTAAAATTATTAAATATTTAAAAATTAGCTAATATTTATTTTTATAAAATTTAATTTAAAAATTTTAACATATAAATATATTTTTAAAATTAATTTTATCTTGATGGAATCAAATTATCATATCTAACCTAACATTTAAAATTTGATAAATTTGAATTAACTTATCCAAATAAAATATTTTAAAAATGATAGAAATTGAAATAAAAGTAATTCAAATATTAAGAATTTAAAATTATTTGAATTTATAAAATTCTTCGTCCAAACACGGCGTTACTTTTTAAGGGCATTCATTTTTTTTTTTGTAAGATAGTTATAGATACGGTTCATTCATCCAATTTTTTTATTTAAATCTTGACATTTGCAAGGAGTAGCGGTGCACTATCACGATTTTTGTTTTCATCCATAGAAAATAAAAAAGAAAAATATACAGCGTCCGAAGAAACATTTTGAAAAATATTCTGAATGATTAAAATATTAATTTAAATTATAAAATATTAAGTTAAATAGTTATTTTTATTATAAATTTATTAAAAATATTAATATTTTAATATTTAGAAGGTGATTCAAAAGACGGGTCAGAAAATATATCATTCCTCAATAAATAAAGATAAGAAAGTTTGAATACTAAACTGTGCAATTTCACGAAATCTATAGTAATTGTGTAATATACTCAAATTTTTTTAATTTTATATCTTTCAAGTTTCCATATTTAATCAAACACACGCTAGATCATCTGTGAACACTTGTGTATTGTTTCCAATGAACCGGGGAATTAATCAAAAGTTAAGGTCTCAACTCATTTACGAATATCAACCCATTCATATTTCATAATGTTGAACAAACAAATAACAAATTTAGTGGTATTCACATAGCTTCACTTCCATCACCATTATCATCCAAATTCCATCATTTCTTTTTTTCTTTTTTTCCCGGTCCCAAAATTGAGTTATGGGTAGGTAAGTGGCACAAGGGAACACGCACCTCAGATAATTACAAAGTGTACTTAATAAAGAAAAACACCACCCCTAAATTCTCTCTCAGCTAACCAATAACTGATCGCCACGTGTACACTCTCCCACTTGCACCTTACCCGTCCCCACCACCTTCCTCCTCTTCGCCGGTGCCCTACCCTCCGGCGAAGACGACCGCTTCGACGTCACTCTCACCGGGTCGGGCTCGCCGGAGTTGACCCGCAGCGGAAAATTCAGCAACGCCCTCGACCCGCGCATCCGGTAGGCGGCGCGGTCGTACGCCAGCGCCGCGTCCTCGGCGGTCTCGAACGTTCCCAGCCAAACCCTAGCCCCGTTTTTGGCCGGGTCCCGGATCTCCGCCGCGAACTTCCCCCACGGGCGCTGCCGCACGCCGCGGTAGTGCTTCCCCTTGGGCGGAGCAGCCTTGGGCGGCGGAGGAGCGTGGATGCTGGGCGGCGGCATGACGTCGGGCTCGTGCTTGACCGGCGGAAAAGGCGAGGAGACGCTCTCGGGCGAGGCGGCGTGGAGCGAGGGGACCCAGCCGACGTCGAGGGCGTCGCGGAGGACGCCGTAGAGCACCATGTCTTCGGAATCGTCCTCTTTTAGTGGAAGCTCACCCCAATTGTCACTCAAACACGAGTTCAAGCTGCTCAAGCTGCAGCTCCGACCCGAAACGCTTCTCGGGGCTCCCAATAATATCGCTTCCGACTCCCCCAGCAAGTGCCGCCGAATTGAATCCAGCAGCGCCAGGTCTGATTCGTAGCTACTCTCTCCGTACATCCCCGCTTTTCGATGTTCTTAATGTTGCTGTGTTCTTGTCTCTAGAGTGTGTGAGGGAAAGATTTGGATTTGGAAGAGGCTATTGAATATTCGAACTTGGGTTTATATGAATTGGTGCCTATTTATAGGGTTGTAGGTTCATGCACTTGGGTTTTTCTCATTTATCGCGTCTATTTTATTCATTTTCCATCGTGCTGGGGTCCTCGACTTAGTTTCGCTGAAGGTTCGCATGTGTAAGGTGTAAACGGCAAGGAATTAGTGCTGATTTTTTTCCTCACGTGCTTAATTTGTCTCTGTTTTCTTTTAAATTAATCTAGTCTTGCAGATTTTTCTTCACAACAATTTTAATTTTATGATATAAGTCAGGAATAAAGTAAGAGAGAAAAGTATAAGATTATTATTTGTTTTAGAACGATTCTTGCTGTCAAATGTAATGTAAGTATGAAATAAAATAAATTGAGTTTAAGTCTAATGTAATAGTAGAAAGTTATTAGAGGTATATCGTTTTTAATTTAATTTTGTTTATTAATGAGTTTCGGTCTATTTTTGCTGACGAAAATAGTACATGTGTGACGTTGTTTGGCTTACAGGGGCAAGACAACTTGCGTTGTTGTTGTCTTCGCTGTTGTCAACTTCTATCCATGCTGCATTAATTGCCGAGTATTTTATTTTATATCTCTATTTTTTACTTTTCTTTATTTTTCGTACTTATTATATTCTTTCTCCCTCTTTCTTTTTCTTTCATTTGAATATTTGATGGATACACAGAATGAGGAAATAAAAGGAAAAGTATTATAGGAAGTGTTAAAATAATGTAAGCTAAAAAAATAGTCATATTAAAAATTAGTCGACGCATGTTTTTCCCCTTTCTATTTGATAGTTAATGCTCATTATTTCAGTGGTTAGTTGTTATATCTTTTTTAAGGAATTTTATTTTAATTATATATTTAAATAGTTAGATATGAGTTCTAAAAAGAATAACAATCAGAAAAAATAATTCGATACTTTAAAAATTTCTTGGTCGAACACTAACATATTTTATCCTATAAATCAATAATTTTTAGTTTATTTTGTTTACATTTATAAACAAATATATGTGTCATCAGATAAGAAATTTTGAAAATTGATACACAAAAATATATAGCACCAACTCATATATGTAAAGAAAATAACTTTTCTTGTTTACCGAAGAAGGAAAAAAAACAGTCTATGTGAAAGAAACTGGCGAGAAATCAAAGAATACAGATACAACGATTGTGGACACATTTTCATTGTGGATAAGTCTCTTCCAAATTCCATAACTCTCCCAACAACTTAGAAGAGGGCCCACTACTCTCAATTTCCATCTCAGTAACTCACATGCTTTATGGTTTTAGTGTTTTCCAGGACAGTAACTACGAATCACAATTCAACAAATCTTCCCTACCTTTTTAGATTTCATCATTTTGGTTTTGGATTATCACTGTGGAAAGATGACCCTTCAGTGGTCCAATTGATCATTATTCTATCTCCAAATTAGGTGTCACTAACTAAAAACAGCTCCAATCTTTCTAAGTTCCACATTGATTTGAATGAATGAGGTTTAGTTCAGTTACTAGTGGATGGCCGAACAACTAGGATCCAACTATATATAACTGAATTGTTTAAGTTAGTTTGATCTATCAAGTGTAATTTTTTTAAAATCCACATTATTTGATAAATAATAATTAATCTTCATTAGTAAAGTGTGATTATTAAATATTATTTTAATATAAAAGAATTTAAATTTAAAATTATTATTTTAATAAAGTTTAATTGTTGAATTTGGAATAACATGTGAATAACTTACACATATGATTGTATACTATATTAATATTTTAATCATAATAATTTTACGATTTTTACATAATACTTAGTTAGAAAAGAACAAAAAAAAAGAAGAGAAAAGGTGGAGAATTTTATAAACTTTTTTTTTATACTTAATTTAACTTTTAGATAGAAACAAAACTCTTCTTCATCTAATTTTAGTTCTTTTCAAAAGAATTTGGAATTTGGAGGAGAGTAAAGAAACTTTAAAATAATTTTAGTATAAAATATTTAAAATATTTTTATTTATGTTTTTTAAATTTAGAATTATAAAAATACAAAGGTAAATCAGTTTTTAAAATTTCTTTTTAAACCAAACAAGAAAATAGTTACCTCTCATCTTTTTTTCTCTTTTCAACCAAACGAATTTTATAACTCTTGTCCTCACATTTCTTCCGCCTCCCCTCCCTTCCATTAAAATCCTATTCTTCTTATTCCTTTTTTTTTAAACAATACAGTTAATATTTATATGTCCATGTTGATAATATGTTGTATATTTTAAAATATTAAAATTTATTTTTATTTTTTAAAAGGCTGAAAAATAGACTTGTGTTATATAATGTGAATATAAAAAGTAAATTTAATTTATATTTTCGTGTAGGTTTAGTAAACGATAAAATAAAACTAATGTATAAAATGATTAAGGCATAAAAAAAATAGTTGTATACTACTTAATGTATGAATCAATTGGCATGAAATTATTTCAACTTAATAAATAATCTTAAGTTTAAGTCTCGAGTATATAATTGTATTAAGTACTTGGTAGGAAAATTTTTTTACTCGTGATAGTTTTACCTAACTTGAATAGGGATGATAAAAAATTTCACCCTATAGGTATCCACAAATAAAGTTCATTACAAATAATAAATGGATCGTAGCTTAAATGAAAACTCACGAACGATATGAGTATGATAATATTCATACTCGTGTATTCGCAAATACCCATTAAGTAATATCATTTAAATACTCACACACACACACATATATATATATATATATATATATAGCAG